GGCGGCTGGGGCGGTCTCGGGGCCGCATGGATGGGTAGAGGAGATGGGATCGACCTAGGTATGCCAGTGAGGGGGTAGGCACCCGCACAAGCACGGGAAGAGGTACAGGTGCCGGAGCTCCGAGAGCCCCGAGGAGCCAAGCCCCTGCGGTCGCGCCGCCAATGCCTGCGTGAAGTCAGGTGCGCCTAAGAAAGGCGCATGCTCTGGCAACGCCAGCCTGAGCCGTGGCGGCACCAGCACGAGGTCATCTGGACGTTTGTGATCTGAAATCCCGTTTTGCCCGGTTACAACCCCCTGTTGCATCACTGGTGGTATCGATGGTCCCATTCACTTCTATCCTCCAAGCCCCGGACCACCCCAGTCGTTCGTCTGTAGTGTGATCTACTTGGAACCACGCTCACTAGGTATCAGCGTCAGCTCCTGGGCTATTCGACCCTTGAGGCCCTTCAAGACGATTGGGCTGAGGACGAGTCGGTAAGCCCGGGGGAGCAAGCGCCGCTTTCACAGCCACGCTGGCTACCGGCCAACCCACTGTTCGGTGCATCGCCACTGCCTGGCTCCGCGCTAGGGCAGGCGCCTAGCAGTGCTGTGAGTTCGGCTGGTTCTGCAGCACCTGCGTCGGAAGCGGGGCTAGATATAGCAGCAGACCTGTTTGGTGCGCGCTCGCCTGTGCGCCAGCAGGTGCCGCAAGCAGCAGCACAGACACAGCGCAGTGCACCATTCGCGTTTGGGCACGCCACCATGTCTGGCTCTAGTCTGTCCACGCTGCTCAAGGACCTGAAGCAGGTCGGCAGCGATGCTGGCCCGGATTTCGACAAGGCGGCCGCCGTGGCCATCAGTTACACCATGCACTGTGGCATGGGCAGCGGCCACAAGACGCCGCAGTCCACACAGTACGTGCTCGCCAGCTTGCAGGTATCCCTGTTTGAGCCGCAGGGATGGGGTGCACGGGTTATGGGGCAGCTGCTGACGACTCAGGAGATCTCGAGGGAGGCTCAAGAGGCAGACCTGGGCACCTTCCCGGACCAGCAGGTGCAGTTTGCCACGCTGCAGGACGCAGCCGGGCATGAAAACCCATGCATCAGCAACCCCGAGTGGCACAACGCCACAGCTCGGATGCTGCTAGAGCATGTGCCTGGGCCCTCATCTCACGCGCCTCTCGCCACAGCTCTCACTGCGCAGCAGGCATACGCAGTGGCCTGGGGCGGTGCGAGCTCCACTGGTGGACTGGCGGTCACAACCACGGCCGTACCCTCCACTCCGGCGGCGGTGAGCCTGGGCGCGGGAGCAGCTGCCCCACCGCCCGCAGCCGCGGCGGGGCCTGCGAACCCTGGCATCAAGGTGAGCTTCTCGCCCCAGGGCCAAGCCACCGTCAGCGTTGGGCAGCCGGTGCAGCTCTCGCCGCAGGAGGCGCTCATGGTGACGCTTGCGCAGCAGCTGCAGCAGCGCAGTGCGCAGCCAGCGCCGGCGCAGCTGCGCCGCAACCAGCTGGGGCAACCACTGACCCCGGCAGCGGCTGTAGTGCGCAAGGTGTTCACGCTGCTGCAGGCACTGCTGAACCCTGACCCCCACCGCGCTGTGAGGGAGTTCCTGGGCATCAAGCAGCAGCCCGAGGAGCTGACCGCCGCTTACATCCAGCGTGCGATCCGCTTCTCGCCCAGCATCCTTGCCACGCACTCCCCGAGCAGGGTGGTGCGGATCGTCGGCTTCCTCGAGGGCGAGCTCAAGCAGCGCCTGCTCGAGCGCACGCTGCAGCGCCCCACGCGCGACCACGCGCTGCTGCAGCTCCTCGCTGATGCCGCCGATCTGGAGGGGCAGCTGCTGGACGCGCGCCGCACTGCGGCCGAGCTGCAGGCCGAGGGGCTCGCTGCAGGTGGGTCGGGTGCCGCTGCCGGTGCGGGTGCAGGCGGTAGCACGGCAGGGGGCCAAGCAGCTGCGCTGACGCTCAAAGAGGCACGGCGTATGGTGCTGCGGGACAATACGCTGCGGCTGGGGGCTGCGCATGCTGATGCGCTGTGCACGCGCCACCCCAATGGGGACCACAGCAACGGCAACTGCAAGATACGGCAGCAGCAGTTCATACCCCAGCAGCAGCAGCAGCAGCAGCTCAATGTCGCGGCAGGTTTACTGGCCCATGGCCAAGCTGCGGCCGGTGATGGCCAGGCGCAAATGGTGCAGCAGCTTGCTGCCGCCATCCTCAACGCCATGCCGGCGCAGTACGTGGCGCCAACCCCACCCGCTTACGCTCAAGCTGGCTGCAGCATCTGCCACCAGCCGCGCGGCCACTCTGCAGGCCAGGCCTGCTACTTCGCTGCGCCGCAGGACATCGCCTGGAGCCCGTCGCTTGGGCGCGTGCGGCGTGCCGGCGCCGCGGCGGAGAGGCGCTTCCTGGACGCCCGCCAGGCCAAGGGCTGGCCGCGCTACCCCGAAGGGTACGAGCCGGTGTTTGAGCACAGGCCGGGGGCTGGGGGGGGCGCCGCCCAGCCGGCGCCTGCGGTCAATGCGGCAGCGCTGTTCCTGGCAGAGCCGTTCGATGAGGATGCCGTCTCCCAGCTGCTGCAGCGGCACGCTGCTGTGCCCGTACGCGCCTCGCCCTTCTTCGCTGACCCGGATGAGTGGGCGCCCGTATCCTCGAGTGCCTCCTCCTCCTCCTCTGGCAGCGGCCTGCCGTCGCTGGGCGACCCTCCACTGTCCTCGCCGCGCCTCACGGCCAGCTCCAACAGCAGCATGCCTGAGCTGGAGGTCGAGTCCCAGGACGAGTTGGAGGTTGCAGCGCAGCAGCTGCCGCGCAGCTTTGGGCTGCTGGACATGGAGGACGACGGCCTTCCCGTCGGCGCTGCTACAAAGGAGGTCTCCACGGCACCTTCATCGCCGGCGTCGGGCTCGACCCGAGCGGCGCGTGACCCGGCGGCGGAGGGCTCTGCCCCCGCGGCGGCCGGGCACGAGGCGGCGGCGGACTCTGTCCCCGCGGCGGCCACAGATCAGGCGGCGGAGGGTGACACCTCTGCGGCGGCCATGGCTCCAGCTACGGCTGAGCAGGAGGCGGCGGGGGCTTCGTCCCCCGTGGCGGCCGTTCCTGATGTGCTGGCGGCGGGCGCGCCCGAGCCGCCAGCAGGGGGGGTGTGTGCAGGTGACGCCGCCGGCTCTGCTGTGCCAAGCCCGCTTGAGTCTGCAGCGGTCAACGCGCGCATGCTGATAAGGCTGGCTAAGGCCAGGGGCGCCGCGGCACTGGTTGCCAAACCGCTCACCCTGCCGCTGGCCGAGCAGAGCGAGCCCGCCTTCGCAGGCAAACGCTTCCTGCTGTGCCTGCCCGAGGCGCAGGAGCATGATCCGCAGGTGGCCGCTGCTGCAAGCGGCGGCGCTACCACGGTGGGCGGGGGGCCGGCCGCGAGCTTCTTTGCGGACGACGCAAGCTTTGCGCCGCAGGACTTCCTGCGGGGGCCGGACGCCTCCCTGTGCCTGCCAAGCGGGCAGCTGGTGAGCATACCCTGGACTCTGGTGGACAGTGGCAGCGAGGTGTCGCTGCTGGACCATGGGTTTTGCGACAGCCATGGGATCAGCTATGAGGACCCGGTGGGGCTCAGCATGCGCACTGCTGATACCTCGCTGGGGCAGCTGGTGGGGGTTACGGAACGGCTGGTTCTGACACTGGCCCCAGGCACTGCGCAGGAGGCTACCATGACGCTGCGCTGCCTGGTGGTCAAGGTGCAGGGCATGGCATATTCGGCGCTGATGGGCAAGGGCCCGCTGCGCATGCTGGGTGCTTACACTGACCCGCGGGCTGACCTGCTGTGCTACACTGCCGCTAACGGCACGCGCGCAGCGCTGCCCCTTTCCCAGCGTCGCACCCTACGCAGCGCAGCGCTGTCACGCATGTTCTGTGCTGCAGAGGTCAGCCTGGAGGCTCCAGAGCAGCTGGCGGTGGACCCAGTAAGTTACCCGCTGCTGGACTGCCCGGAGGACCTGTCTGACTGCAGCTCGGTTGCCGACGGGCCTGCCGGGGGCAGCAGGCAGTGGGACGAGCTCTGGTTTGGTGAGAAGGTCTCGCTCGACGCATTTGGGCAGGGCAAGCCGCCCTCCATCGGATGCTTCCTGGGCCGCGCAGCCCTCGCTGCTCACTGGCAGAAGGCCACGCCCGCAGCGCGCGCTGCCATGCTCCCGCGTCTGCTCACAAAGGCGCGGCAGATGCAGGCCGAGGCGGCTGCCAATGACTGGAGTAAGAGGCCGTACATTCTCATCAACCCGGCGCCAAAGGTGGGGGTTTGCCGGCCGGTGATCTCTGGCGGCTGGGCCACCAATGTGGCCCTGGATGAGCTTGAGGATGTGCGCGCACGCACTGAGCGCATGGCGCGGCGTATGGCGAAGGAGCGCGAGGCCGCTGGGGGCACGCCCCTGGACCCTGGCCAGGTGCTTTTTCGCAGCTGCCACTGAGCTGCACGCAGACCCGCCCCAGCCTCCGGACACGGCTGGGGGGGCACCGCAGCCTGCCACAATTCCTTCAGGGCTGCATGGAGGATCTGCAGTTGAAGAGGTGCTAAGGGCGCTTGATGATCTCGAGCCACATGGTGAGGTGGATCTTACAGCGGTGTCGGAGCAATGCAGCCGGGACAAAGAGTTGGGCTGTGTGTTTGGGACTGTGCCTGGGGCCACGGCAGATCAGGAGAGAAGGTTTAAGGCGATGCTGCATGAGCACAAGGGGGTGTTTGCCTACGGTATGGTGGATCTGAAACAGGGATACCATGGACCCCTCGGTGCTGTGCGCATAACAATGGTGCATAACAACCCCATCTGGCAAAGCCCACGCCGCTACAGCCCACTCGAGCGCGGCATCATCGCAGAGAAGTCCCATGAGCTGCTGAGCAACGACATCGCTGAGGCGGGCGACACGACAGACCAGTACGCCTTTAACCCCGTCCTCGCGCCCAAGAAGGACGTGGAAGGTAACTGGGTGGAGAAGCGGTTTTGCATCGACTTCTCGCCGTGCAACAAGGCACAAAGGCCAGACAAGTATCAGACTGCGCGGCCTGAGGAGATGTTTGCATGGCTCGCTGGTCGCCGCGTAATCAGCCACCTTGACATGCGGGCTGGGTTCCATCAGATACCCCTGCACCCTGACAGCCGCCGGTACTCCCAGTTCTGGGCGAACGGGCGGCTGCTGCGCTACACGCGCCTGCCTTATGGCTTTATTAACGCTACTGCCGAGTTCCAGAAGCGCTGTGACGATGCCCTGCAGCGCGGCGGCGTGGCCGACTGTGCGCGGAGCTACGTGGACGACCTCGTGATCGCCAGCGCCACCGTCGAGGACCACATCCGCGACGTCGCCCGCGTGCTGCGCGCGCTGGAGGCTGTCAACTTCAAGATTCACCCCGCTAAGTCCTTTTTCTTCACTGACCGTCTGCCGTTCCTGGGGCACTTTGTCACGCCGGACGGGCGCGAGCCCGAGGCTGCCAAGGTGGCTGCCATCATGTCTCTGCCCCTGCCGCGCAACAGGGATCAGCTGCAGAGCATGCTGGGGCTTCTGGGGTATTACAGGGCTTTCATTCCCAACTATGCCCACATCGCCGCGCCCCTGACTGATCTGCTGCGGAAGGATGCTGTGTTGCTGTGGAGGGGGCCCCTGCCGCAGCGTTTGAGGAGCTCAAAACCCTCCTGGCCAGGCCGGGTAACGCTCTGCGCCACCCTGATTACAGCAGGCCCTTCATCGTGCACACCGACTGGTCCCACCTCGGTATCGGCGCGGTGCTGGGTCAACGTGACGACAGCGGCGCTGAGTACATCGTGGCCTGTGTGAGCCGGCGGTGCAATGAGCACGAGGCCCGCTACCCGGCCTGGAAAGGTGAGCTGCTGGCTGTCACCTATGCCCTGACTGAGTTCAGGGTATGGCTGCAAGGCAGCAAGTTCCTCTTGGTGACTGACCACCGGCCGCTGCTGTACCTGCTGCGCGAGGCGCGCCTAGGGGATGCTCACAACTGGCGGTGGGCTGCGCTGCTGCACGCCTTTGACTTTGATGTCGTGCACCGCGCTGGGAAGAAGCACATAAACGCTGACGTGCTCAGCCGCTACCCCCAGCCGCGCACCTTTGACGTCACAGGCGCGCAGCTCGACCTTCCCCATGATCAGCTGCCCCTAGGGCTGCCCCGCGTGCTGCTGCCCGATGGCTCGCTGTGGCAGCCCACGCTGGAGGACGCCCCCACACGGCTGGAACTTGAGGCACCCTCGGATGGAACTCCAGTGGAGGTGGGCGTCGCCTCTGTGTTCGCGTTCGCTCCGATGCCAGTGGTGCGGCCAGCCCAGGTGGCCTGCGCCGCCCTGCGCGCCGTGCAGGCTGAGCCAGCCGCCACCAGCTGGATTGATGCGTTCGCCCCCTCCGCGGATGAACTGCTTGCTGGGAATACTGCCTTTGGGGCTGATGACCTGGCTGCTGCGGCTCTTGCTGCCTCGGCTCTGCCTGTGAGCCGGGAGCTGCAGCGCCAGCGTGTCGTGCAGGCTGCCGGGAACTGGCTGGCTGGCGCGCAGCGCGAGGGCCTGCCCGTGCCCGCTGCGCCACTCCCTGGCAAACCACTCGCGCTGGGGGGGGAGGTGGCCACGCCAGACGCTGACCTGCAGGTCTGCACTGCCCCTGTAGGAGCGCATTTCGTTTCGCTAGCCGCAGGCCCCGAAGGCGTCACCGTCTATGAGCCCTTTGGTGGCATCTGCGCCGGCCTGGAGGCAGCCCTTCGGGCTGGGGTGCGTGTCAAGCGCTACATCTACAGCGACACCTCCCCTGTGGCGCGTGGCATTGCCCGCCACCGCTTCCAGCAGCTGGCTGATCTGTACCCTAGGCAGGTGGGGCCCGACGCCTTTGCGGATAGCTTTACGACCCCCCCTTT